GGCACAGTGTAAATTAGGCTGAGCTCAAATTTACTATGTAACTAAATGCTAGGATTACAGGCGGGTACTATCAGGACAGATTTTTGTAGTGCTGAGAATTAAACCCCATGGTTCGGTGTATGCCAAGCAAGCATACTACCAACTGAGCTACAGTCCAACCCTTCACTTACTATGTGACTCTTTAGTTCCTATTCCCTGTAATACTTCCTTATTCAGCATTATTTAAAAGAGATTGTTGGTATATTGGGAGGTACAGACGGAAGGATCACAAGTTCTAGGTTATTCTCAGCAACAGAGTAAACTCAAGGGGGAGGAAGAGTAGAAAGGGTCTCACTTTATAGCTGTGGGTGATATGAACTTGGTATGTAGACCAGGTTGGCCTCAATTCAGAGATCCACCTGCCTGTCTCCTGAGAGCTGAAGATACCACCCCCCAACTACCCCCCGGCTCACCCAGTTTTCTTGCGCCACTCAGGGATCCAGCTCACCAAGCCTTCTCCCCAGCACCTATTTATTCTTTAGACAGGATGTTATTTTGTCGTCTAGCTGGTCTGAATCTCACAACCTTCTGCCTCAGTTTTCAGGATTGCAGACATGCACCATTATGTTTTAAAAACTTAATACTTATTTTTGTGTCTATATAGGTGTCCCTTGGAGCAGGAGTTCCAGGTTTTTGCAGGACATAGCTGCTGGAATCCAAACTCCAGTACTCAATTGAGTGTCTGCTGAGCTCTCTCCAACCCACAATGATTTAAGATTTATTGTATGTGTATGTATATTTTGCCTTCATGTGGACATGTGTGCACCACATGTGTCTGGTGCCCACTGAGGTCAGAAGAGGGCATTGGATCCTCTGGAACTGAAGTTACAGATGGTTGTGGGCCACCATGTGGGTGTTGAAAATCAAACCTTTGTCCTCTACAAGAGAAATAAGAGCTCTTGACCAGTCATTTCCCCGGCCAATATATTTTTAAAACCACCTAAAATTGCTACCTTAAGTTCTTTTTCGCTTAATAGATACAGTCGTTCAAAATCAACTTCAAAATGTCACACAACAGACTGTCCCACTATAACACTACCAGTAATGATGGACTAAGTTGTTACCTGTGGTCAATTTAAAAGCCACAACTCAGCCAGGCGGTGATGGTGCACACCATTAACTCCAGCGCTCGGGAGGCAGAGGCCAGCCTGGTCTACAGAGCAAGTTCCAGGACAGCCAGGACTGTTATATAGAGAAAACTAGTCTCGGGAAAACAAAAACAAACAAACAAGACCACAACACAAACCTTATAGGCATTCAGATCTTTATTTAAAATAGACAAATGTGGAGTTTTGAGGACATGAACTCCTCCACTGTTCCAACTCAGATCTCTGGGCTTCATGTTCAGAACCTTTCCAACAGCACTTCTGTCAGTAGAACGGAGAACTTGGGCTCAGCAATGCTACTAGGCTTCAGAGGGAGAAACAGAGTTCTCTGAAGTCACTAGGTACATATCCGATAGCCTCCCTGTCTACTATCATGCAAATCATCCCACTAATTCCTTTTTTCTCTTTTCCATGACTGGGGATTGAACCTAGGGCCGCACCATGCATGCCACACAAGTACACTACTCCTGGGCTATATAGTCCCAGCTACTCTTCCTTTTCTTCATAGATCAGTTTGAGGAGACCAGATCAACCTTACTTCTCATGGGTCTAGTTTCCATCCTCAAAGAGACCATGGTTACCTGAGACAGAAGAGCCATCTTTCCAGCCCCTGTATGTTTTTCAGATAGGTTCTTGCTACTAACCTAGGCTGGCCTTGAACTCAATGTGTCTCTCCAGCCACAGTTAGTATTACAGGTGAGTATCACACCTGGTCTCTAATTTCTACTCTTCAATCCTATGCTTTCTAGAGGTTGAACCCAGAAGCCTTGGACATGCCAGACAAGTACTTTACTATTGAGCCTATCTTATGCCAAGAGATTGAGACAGTAGAGGAAATGAATTTTGTTTGCTTTGAGTTTTAAAGATAGGGTTTCATTATGTAGCTTAGACTGGCCTTGAATTTCTATTCCTTTTATCTCTAGAGTGCTGCCACACCCAGCTCCTCTTTTATAGTTTTTTTGTTTGTTTGTTTTGGTTTGGTTTTACAATAGGGGTTTTCTCTGTGTAGCTTTGGGGCTTGTCCTGGATGGAACTCACTCTGTAGACCAGGCTGGCCTCGAACTCACAGAGATCCATCTGCCTCTCTCTGCCTCCCAAGTGCTGGGATTAAAGGCATGTGCCACCACTATCCAGCTTTATGTTTTATCTCAATTTTGCTTCCTTTTTAAAAACTAGTTCATTGAAGGACATTTGGATTGCTTTCATTTTTGGTCTAGTTATGAACAGTTGCTAAAAGGAGAAACTGGATCACGCATTCAAACATCACTGGTAGGGACGTTATTTCCAATTTTATAAATATATAATTTATTTTTATTTTATGTGCATTGGTATTTTGCCTGCATGTATGTCTGTGTGAGGGTGTCAGGACCCCTGAAACTGGAACTACAGACAGGTGTGAGCCACCACCATGTGGGTGCTAGAAACTGAACCCGGGTCCTCTGGAAGGGCAGTCAATGCTCTTAACCACTGAGCCATCTCTCCAACTCCAATTTTTTTGTTTTTAATTAGGCTAGAACTCAGAGATCTACCTGCCTCTGCCTCTTAGATTACAAGTGTGTGCAACCACACTATAATCTTAATCTTTTTGAAACAATCCTAATAATTGTCTATTTATTTCTAAGAAATAAATCGTATGTACTCACTTTCATCCAAAGGCAACATCTCACAAAGATACATACTGACATCAATACCAAGACCCATAGCAGTCTAGTCCCCTGGTCCTCATTCTCAAGGTTTCATGAAGAATTATATTAAAAATATATAACTTATATACTTTGTTTTTGTTTTTTGAGACAAGGGCTAGCCCAATTAACCTAGAACTTGCTAGGAAGCCAAAGATGACCTTGAACTTCTGATCCTTTTGCTGGACTTACAGTGCCTAGGTTACAGGTGTGCACCACTGTGCCAGACTTATGAGGTGCTAGCTAAGGTAGGGGTGGAGATGTTGAACCTAGGGCTTCAAATATACTAGGCAAACATCAACTAAGCTACATCCCAGCCCTTATGCTCTTTGTTCTTAATAGTAAAATGTATGTTAAAATCGTTGAGGGAACCACAAATAAAGCTCAGTGGCAGAATGCTTGCCTACCATGCACAAAGACCTGGGTTCAATTACCAAGTTAAAAAAAATCAGTTAGGCAGGGGTGCTGCATGCTTTTGATTCCAACACTAGGGAGGCAGAGGCAGGTGGATCTCGGGGCTGGAGGCCAGCCTGGGCTACAGAGTGAGTTCCAGGACAGCCAGGGCTATGGAGAAACCCAGTCTTGAAAAAACAAAACAAAACAAAAATCAAAACAATTCTTTTAATCAAGAAATGTTATTTGTTAAAAAATGTATATACTCTGATGAAATGAATCTAGAGCATGACACTGATATTTCTTCAGTGTAATCTACATTTTAGTTTACATTTATTAAGCATCACAGATAAGTTACAAATCAAAGTAACAAAGCTCCATGAAAGAGCCAGAAACTAAGAAGGTAACAGTCTTATGCATCTGGACTGCCTACTTAGCCTATCTGCCTCTCCATTACAATAGGATGCTCTCTTTTGGTTATTACTAGGAAATCTCTTTGAGATGTGGCTATAAACTGGGTGGTGGCAGTGGCGACGGTGTACGCCTTTAATCCCAGCACTCAGGAGGCAGAGGCAGGTGGATCTCTGTGAGTTCCAGGCCAGCCTGGTCTACAAAGCGAGTACCAGGACTGGCTCCAAAGCTATACAGAAAAACCCTGCCTTGAAAAACCTAAATAAATAAATAAATAAATAAATAAGAACGTGGCAATGGTTATACCTCAGTCATAAGGTACGTATTTAAACATGGGCAAGGCCCTGGGTCTAACCCCTGGCCCAAAGATAGAGACAGTGCTTACAGATTGGATTTATGTTTGGCATTATGCCAAATCTGTGCTCTATGAACACTGGTGACACACTGTATTTGGGGTATAACCTACTACTGCCAAGTTGTGTTTTCCTGAGACAAGATCTCAGGTATTGAAGCTGTCCATGAACTCCATCTCTTATCTTCCTGCCTCAGCCTTCCAAGCACTGGACATTAGTCATGATGCTTGGTCTAAGTTCTCTTTCTTTTAAAGGTTTATTTATTATGTATACAGTGTTCTGTCTGCATATATACCTGCATGTCTGAAGGGCATATCAGGACCCATTATAGATGGTTGTGAGCCACCATGTGGTTGCTGGGAATTGAACTCAGGACCTCTGAAAGAGCAGTCAGTGCTCTTAACTGCTGAACTATCTCACCAGCCTCCCTAAGTTTTTTTTCTTGACAGTCAAGAGTGAAATGTTAAAACAATGGTTACTCTCTCCAGGTAGAAGAAAATATATCCAACTAAATTGGCAGCTCCTGTTGTATGTAGAAAAAAATATAGCAAAGGAAAAGAATTTATACACTAGAGGATGGAGGGAATATTCTCAGCATAGACTAAACACCATATACAAACCAAAATAAACAGGAGGGTTTCCCCCAAACCCAAGCTTTTATTTATTTATGTTTGTTTATTTATTTATAAAGGCCTGATAAAAAATTTACATACACACATATGTGTGTATACATGTGTGTGTGTGTGTGTTTGTATAGCCTAGGTTGGCCTCAAACTCACTATGTAGCCAAGGTTAACTCTGAACCTCTACTTCCAAAGACTTGGGATTGCAAGCATGTTACCATGTCCAGCTTCAACGATATTTATACAATAATATTAGCAAACCTTTGTCCCAAACAGCTATGTGTTTAATTCATTTATAAAAATAACAAAAGCTTTATCACTTGGTCTCTAGTTATTAAGAAAGAACTTTGCTAGACATAACAATTTCACACAAAAGGACACAAGACTACACTATTGATCAATATTATTTTCCTTGTATTTGTAATATATCCACATGTTAACACTGTGACAGAAAAAGATTAGTCCATATTATGCAGGAAAAACGGACTTCGATGATCAGACTATGAAGATAAAAACACAAGGACTTCCCACACCGCTAAAGCAATTGTTCAACACACCAACAGCATCTTGGAGTGCTTCAGGTCACTCTGTCCTGGCAAGGAATGAAGGGCATACCCACTCAGACAAAATGAGTCTCCCAAGGAATGGTAGAACTGCTAATCACCATGTAAAAATTGTTTCACTTCGTGAGGTGAAAAAGCTCTACAGTTGGGAAACTGCACTAATCAAGTGCTGTCCCAAACAGGAAGTCATCAGAGGAAAGGCAACAAAGCAATCGTAGATTTATCATGCATAAGGTAATTACACAATATACTCTTTAATGAGCAGACATATTAATGAGGCAAAATTTACAGTCATTGGAACAAATAAACTAGAGTAAACCACTGTTTCTGCCAGATGTTTCAGTATAAAATAATAATGTCTAAAAACTATATGCTTCGAGTATTTACTTTTAGAACCCCTTCAAGATAATAAAGACACTGTAACAAAATATTATTATCTGAATATACATTATCAACACCAATATGATACAGGCATATAATTCTCATTTTATATATGTACGGTGGAAATACTGTAAAGCCTAGAAAAAGGATGAAAACAGACTGGCCAGAATTTAAATTATCATACTTATCCATGATAAAAATCTATAAGGAAAACTTTAATAACTCATCCTTGCTACATTCACTGGCCTATGGAAAGTGCTGTCTGAAGAGAAAGAAAATAAAACCTCCTGTTTGCTTCAAGTATTCAGTTTATGCTGTGAATTTTTCTATTGTTTGATTTCACTGTTCCTTATTTTACTTTAATATAGGGTCTTGTGGCATTGTTCAAGCTGGTCTCAAACTAGCAATCCTCTGGCCTTAATCTCCTGAGCAGCTGGGATTACATGTATGTGCCACTGTACCCGAGTTCACTATTTTAGTTATTAGACAGAAAAGAAAAAAAAAAAACACTCAATTCAATGAATCATTTAGAGTAAGAATTCCAAACCAAGTCACATGAATGCTATCTCAGAGCTACTCTTGGAAGAGTAATGGATAACATACACCTCACAAATCTGATGGCAGCACTTCTCATAGTATAACAATTTCTGTTCTCCCTCGTCACATAAATGCATTGTTTTAACTGTCTCCTGGGATATTTTACTTTACAAATCCTTCTTTCAGTTACTGAAGAGGTGATTTCAAAACATAACACGGATACACCTGCTAATCCTGAGATGATGATGGTGGTGGTGGTAGTGGTGGAAAACAAAAACTCATGATTTTTATTCAAATTTCTGTTTTAGTTTTTTCTGGAAGATGGCTGGCAGAATAGAGAGAAGAGCCAAAACCATTAGAATAAATACTGAGTTCCAGGAAACAGCTTCCCCCGCTGTAGTAAGCTGATACAGAGTTGTTCCTGCCTTTATTGCTACAAAAGAGGGAGGTGCAACACCTAAAATAAAAAACAAAAGACAGTGAGTGAGTGGCACTGGGAGCCTGTCAAATAAAGTAAAACCACCATTTCTTCCCATATCTTTTCTTGTGTATCTATGTTTTGCTCACATGTATGTAAGCGCATGCAGTGCCCATGGAGGCCAGAAGAGGGCATCAGATCCCTCCATAAGCCTCCATATGGGTACTGGGAACTGAACCCAGGTCCTCTATAAGAGCAACAAGTACTCTTAAGCATTGAACCAAAACTCCAGACTCCCCAAATCACATTTTAAAAATTAAATTTCTATATGTATATACTGTCTTTTAGGAACACAGCTATTTGCATTTTGAAGAAAGGATTGTGAATTTAAAGCAGGTACTTATTAGCATACTGGAGGCCTCAGCTCAATCCCAGCACACATTAGCATTCACATGGATAACATTTTGAAATGATAAAATTATCTTGACACATAGATTGAAGTACAACATAGAAGTACAATTAATTTCAATTGTTACTTTTTCTCATGGTCCTAGATGGCTCACCCAGTTCCAATAGCCCCGTGCTAGTAAAATGAAATCTTTGTTATATGCACCAAGATCAAATCTCTCTCTGTTGTTCACTTAATTTAAAAGGTGCACCTTTTCATACTGAGAAAAACAAGACGGGCTATCGAGATGGCTCAGTGGGTAGAAAACTTCAAGCTTCGTTAAGTGTAGTCCCCTAAAGGTAATTCCGTTTTTCATAGGCACCTCCTCAGGATAATGAAAAATTTTAAAGCCAGAATATTTGAGAAGGCAAATGAAAACAAAATATAAAAACATGTCATCCACAAAATAACTTCACAACTTTAGCATTTTTAAAAAGCCAGTCAGCCCTGTAATTCCAACTACTACTAGGGAGGCTGAGGCAGGAAAGCCATTCGAGATCAAGCTTTGCCTAAGCAATCTGTCTCAAAGTAAAAAATGGGAGGAGAAAGAAAGATGGCTGGGGATCTAACTCAATGGAAGAGTATTTGCCTCACATGAATGAAGCTCTAGGTTCAAACCAGCTAGATCAGAGATGACAGGCTCTCAGGGCCATGAGCTTTATTGGCTGAAAGCTCCTCTCATGAGCCTGGATTGCATGTTGCCTTGTGAGCATCCCAGGCTTCAGGTATCCTCTGGCCTTCCAGAGGACTTAGTGAGTGATGACTAGTAACTGGCCAAAGACAACTTTTTCTTAGTACTTTTCTCTGATCTAGCTGGCTCCAGCTGGCAAAGAAAGGGCCAATGGGCCAGAGTTGGGGTGGATATAAAAAGTCTCCTTGGGCTAAGGATGTGGTTGGTGGCACAGAGCTGCAGGGTCGGCATACACAAGCCCCACATTTGAGCCCTGGTATCACACACACACAAAGGTGGTGAGGGGTTCTGCTTAATCTCAGGTTACTAAAATAATATCTAGTAGAAAGTGCTCATTCTTTATAGAGGTAACACATTACAATACACTGAACAAGCTATTTATCTAGGCCAGGCTTTGTGCCCAAGAGTTATATATGGTAGTGGTGATTTTGCACATAGCAGGCAATCTAGGCCAGCTGGACAGTTGGACATGTGCATGATGAGCTGTCACACAGCATGAAGTCTTACCTAGAAAAGTGCCAATAAAAAACACTTTCAATGGCACATTTATCACAGGAGATGTAATATTAATAAACCAGTTAGGCAGAAATGGTGTGATTCTCAAAAATATAATGTAGTTAATGAGATGTTCTCTATGACGCTCTACCTGTCATAAGAAAAGAAGAGGAAAAAGTTAAGACCAATACTGAAAGTAAGTTGCTTAATATAAAATACCTTCAATTCTCATCCCTGATATGTCACAATTTACCCAACAGAAACAATGTGTGCTTTTCTGGGTATGTAACTCAGTGATAGAGCATCTGCCTACCATGTTCAAAGCCCAGGGTTAAATACCCAGACCCATACACACACATACACAAAGTTAAAAAATTATTTCCTTCACCCTTACATTGGTTCCAGGGATCAAATTCAGTTGTTAGGCTTTGGGGCCATGATGTTACAGAGGCTTTTTTTTTTTTCAGAGCTGAGGACCGAACCCAGGCTTGCCTAGCAAGTGCTCTACCACTGAGCCAAATCCCCAACCCCAAGACTGAGGCATCTTATCAGCCCCAATTTTAGTTCGTTTGGTTTTTTTTTTAATTATTTATTTATTATGTATACAGAAGAAGGCTCCAGATCTCATTACAGATGGTTGTAAGCCACCATGTAGGCGCTGGGAATTGAACTCAGAACCTCTGGAAGAGCAGTCAGTGGTCTAAACCTCTGAGCCATCTCTCCAGCCCCTAATTTTAGTTTTTATGGTTATGGGAGAGGGAGTGATCCTAGGGACTCGTTCATGCTAGCCTCCAGTTTCCAATTTTAAAAAATTTTCACTTCATCTTATGTTATGATATGAGTGAATTAAATAAGTAAACAAAATTTTCACTAAATATAAATACTAATTACTTGTATTTCTGTATAACTTACACAGAAATAAGTGATATTACTTATACAAGTATATTTCTTCTGATATTACAGATTCAATGTGTAAACTAAAAGTCTAGTCATTAAATTTCAGATGTTTTACAAATACGTGACCACAAATTGAAATAAAATACAAAATTTCCCTTTCTTCTCTTTTTTTAGAGGGGATGAGGAAGGATGATCTCTGTATTTCCTATATGAGACACAATTATTTCTTCTGATCTTTTTATAAAAATAGAATTCTCCTCCTGTTATTGTTTAAAAGTAAAACGTCCCCCAACAACTATAACATGTGTTGAAGCCTAGGTCTCTAGTTGGTGAAAATATAAAAGGTTATGGAAACTGAGTGGTAGGGCCTAGCTGGAAGAAGCAGGCTACTTGAAGGGTGTCCCCCTTTTTTTGTTTGTTTGTTTGTTTTTCAAGACAGGGTTTCTCTATGTAGCCCCTGGCTGTCCTAGAATTAGATATGTAGCCAAGACTGGCTTCAAACTCAGAGATCAGCCGTTGCCTCTGCCTCCTGAGTGTTTGGGATTAAAGGCATGTGCCACCACAACCTATCTGAAGGGTGTTCTTAGAATTGTATCTCGGTTCCACCCAGGAACCTCTACTGGGTTCCTCTCTGCCAGGAGGTGAATAGACACTGTCACAAACTTCCTCTGCCTAATGCTCTGTCCCACCACTGGCCTAGAATGAACACAGGTAAGGACTACAAACTGAAACCTTGTAGCAAAATCATGCCTGTGTTTTTCTCCAGCATTTGGCACAACAGAGTCTAATACACTCCAAAGATTATGGTTGCACTTTTCTGCATACAGTACATTAATCATTGCTAATCTTTTCGGAGATCCTGATTGAAAACAGCGTTTTTCCTACTAAAATGCTCAAGAGCAGTGAGCTAAAGGTTTTTCAGTTACCCACTGACAATATGCTACATCCACACAAAACATAAAGTGCCTAATTTTGGGATGCTTTCATATTGACATTGACTTCTGCTAATTGAGTTACAAACAAACAAAAAACAAACGTGTGTGTGTGTGTGTGTGTGTGTGTGTGTGTGTGTGTGTGTGTTGGCATTCAGGCCTGCCCCTTGGGGGCCCGCCCAGCATCCTGAAGTCATCTTACGAAAAGCCCCCTTTAGGAGGGGAAAAGCCCCTCCCCTTTCTCGAGGCTGTGGGCACCTCTGCTGGCCTTCTCTCCTTTTCTTTCTTTCCCTCTCCCCTCCCCCTTTAATAACAAACCTTTCCACATGGATACCCTGCCTGCAGTGTTAGTAACTTTCCGCCGTGCCCCCCTGACCGCCACCAGCATGGCATGTCTCCTCGGCTCAAACTCAACAAGGCCTCTGGAACACCGTTTCACAACACTGGTGCTATGACTCGTCAAGAACCCTGGCGTTTTCTCCCACCTGCCGGCAGTCTGAGAAACACTGGGACCCTGTACCTTCCAATTCCAACTGGAGGATTGCTGGGACCCTTATCCTATAGGTAAGCTCCTCCCTTCTGGCCGTTTTCCACCAGTAAGGATTTGTCTCATCTTCTCAACCGTGGTTTCTTGCCTTTAGGCCTCACCCAAAAGTCCCGGTACTGGGCGACCATGTGTCTCGGGGCTCTGCCCTTAGGCATCTGTTCCCACATGACGACATACCGTAGAGTTTGCCCCCATTGACCCCCACAGTCCCTAGATCTTTGGTCATTGGTCCTCGCTGACCCTCTGGGACGCTGGAGTTCAGTCTGTTGGATCTTCTACCTCACTCATGGAAATGAGCCTACCATCAAACCTCTATCTAATACCCCAATCGTTACAACTTCTGCCTGCAATGTTCACTCCTATCCCAGCTCGAACCTGTTGGATTCCTTCTTATCACCCGCTCTCTCAAGTTCCTCCAGACTCTGCCAAAATAGTTACATCATCACCTATGGCCAGGTCCCTTTCCGGACATGGGCACCCTTTAAAATTGGCCACCAGGCAGAACTCGTTCTTTTTTGCCTGTCCCTTGCCTCTAATTCATTTCCTTGTCTGTAATTTCATCTCTTGCTTCTTTTCTCTCTCACTTAACTCTGTAGCCAGACCATATCCGTATGTTCCACCACAGCAGATCTGCTCCAAGAAGGAGCCTGGCACCAACATTTTCCTGCAGCTGCCTGTCCCTTTTGTCCAGGGAAGGGGTGGGCTGAGGATCAGGAATTCAAGGCCAGCACGGGTTACACGACACCCTGTCTCAAGAAAAGTAAAATCATTGGGGCTAGAGAAAGAGCTTAACAGTCAAGAGCATCTGCTGTTCTTCCAGAGGACCCAAGCTCAAATTGCAGCACCCGTATCAGATGGCTCACAACTAACTCCCTCTATCTCCAGTTCTAGGGGATCTGACATTATTCTGGCCTCCACAGACATCAATATATATATACACATGACATACTTATACACATAAATAAAAATAAAACTTGAAAGAAAATTTAAAACTAAAATAAAGTTGTTAGCAGGGTGGCACACACCTTTAATCCCAGCACTTGGGAGGCAAGGGCACACAGACCTCTTTGAGTTCCTAGCCAGCCAGGCTTCAGAGTGAGACCCTTTCTCAAAACCAACCAACCAACCAACCAACCAACCAACCAACCAACCAACCAACGAACCAAAAACAACACAAAGTCAGAGGAGCTATGGATGCAGTTGAGTGGCAGAGTGCTATGTTTTGTATGACTGAGGGTCTGGATCCTCAGCAGAACACCAACAAAAGAGAAAGAGAGAACATAATCATGATAAGCATGAACATTTATATTTGCATCCCCCTAATATTATTCTTGTCAAAATATAATTTTTATAAGTTAATTTCATACATACAATTATCTGATAAATAAATTTATAGTCTATACAAATGAATGTTTTCATAGGGATGATCTATCTACTTATAACCCAAGTTATAATTCACACTTTAAAAATATACCAGGGTTCTTCACATCCATCAGCATATGAACAGCACCAACTAGACTCAGTGTGATATATTAAAAAAAAGGGGAAAAAATGCTTAGCTAGGCCATGGTGGTGCAGCCTTTAATCCCAGCACTTGGGAGGCAGAGGCAGGCAGATCTGTGAGTTCGAGGCCAGTCTGGTCTACAGAGTGAGTTCTAGGACAGCCAGGGCTACACAGAGAAACCCTGTCTCAAAAAAAGAAAAGAAAAGGACATGTAACTGGGAAGGGGTGTGTTGGAAAGTGAGTCTAGAGGGAATTAAAGGGAAGAAATAGGAGGTGGTGAAGATCAAAATACATTGTATGCATGTATATAACCACATAACAAGGTTATATCTCCAAAAACTCAACTGTAGCCATTTAAATCTGACCAAAGCCTGTGGCTAGAGAGGTCACAGGGACTAGAGAGGAACCCACTACTGTTGTGCTGCTAAATGTGCATGTTGTCAAAGCCTTCTGAATCTTCATGTTTACAGCTGTAGATTAGTGCTGCTTTCAAAAGCTTCTTTTTTGCAGTGGGCAGCAATGCAGAGTCATAACTGGCCGAAGTGCTGACAGTAAGTGACTGCTGAGTGCTCAGACCTAAATGGGTCTCCGAGAACATCACAGAAGAAGAGAGTAGAAAGAATTTAAGAGCTGGAGGATGAGAATGAAAACTGTGAAATGATGTTGGGAATAACATGGCTACTGCACTCATGAATTACAGCAGCAGCTATGGCTACTTACACAAGATTAAGCAATGTTTAACTACACAATAAACATTCCAGCACAGATGGAGAGGGACTTATGAGGTTCTACCCCTAGCCAAGAAGCTATTGGTAGTTGGTAGCTGCTAGGAGAGAAGGGGTCATTTTTCTGAGGTGGCAGGTTGGTTACCTATGCTCCAGTGGATGACCCTATTCCCATGAACACGCAATACTAACAGACTTAGCAGGTTGGGGGAGAGGGGACAGATTATAGGAGGGGTACGTATGAAAGGAATGGGGAAGAGCAAAGTCAGATTTGGGTTAAATATAATCAAGATACACTGTCAAAGATAGCGATGAATTAATGCACAGTCATAGCTTAGCTTGCTCTCCTTTTCATTCAGGTCTTCCCATCTCAACCCAACAAAGAAAACCCCACAAGCCAAGCCAATCTAGACAATTCCTCATTGAATCTCTTTTCCCAGGTTATTTTACTTTGTGTCAAATCAACAATTTAAACTTTATTTAAACATGCTTTAAAATCAACTTCTTATAGGAATGGTGGCCCAAGCCTTTAATCCCTGCACTCTAGAGGCAGAGGTAGGCAGATATTAGAGGTGAATCTGAGGCTAGCCTGGTCTACAAACTAAGTTCTAGGCCTGCCAGGGCTACATAGTAAGAAAATAGGCATGTGTGAATATAATCAAAAGACACTGTGAAATTCTCAAAGAACAAAAACACCATTTTAAAAATTTCTTATATTATTTTTAAAAATGATGACAAAGCCAAAGAACCACAAAGAGAACCAAAAGTACATGCCTACCTGCTGCGACCATTTTACTGCTTTCTCTGTTAGGTATTTGTATACAACAGGTCTTCCAACTAAATAGGAGAGCATGTAGCAGAATGAGGCACCAAGTCCAGAACACTGGAAAACAAAACAACACATGCACTTTGTATCTTCCCATCTCATTCCTGTACATTATTTACTTAGGTGACCTCTTTCAGGGCCAGACAGAGCAGTCTATAGAACATCTCTTATTTAGAGAATCAGAACCCATTTATCTAGTCCTTTCTCAAACTGTAACTCAAAACAACATCAGTTAAAATAAATGGGCACTTGCAATTGAACTCTGTGGCCATATCCAGTAATTACTGCTATCCTTTAGCTTAAGGAAACTTGCTGAGTGGTGGTGGCACACACCTTTAATCCCAGCACTTGGAAGGCAGAGGCACGTGGATCTCAGTTCCAGGCCAGCCTGGTCTATACAGCAAGTCCCAGGACTGTTAAACAGAGAAACCCTGTCTCGAAAAACCAAATAAATAAATTAATAAAATAAAATAAAAGCATAAAAAGAATAAAGAGGGCTGGAGAGATGGCTCAGAGGTTAAGAGCACTGCTTGTTCTTCCTAAAGGTCCTGAATTCAATTCCCAGCAACTACATGGTGGCTCACAACCATCTGTAATGAGATCTGGTGCCCTCTTCTGGCCTGCAGGGATACATGCAGACAGAACACTGGATACATTAAAAAAAAAAAGAATAAAGATCCTTAGCTGGGTGTGGTGGCACAGGCCATTAATCCCAGCATTCCACTAGGGAGGCAGAAGCTGGCAGATCTCTGTGAGTTTGAGGGCAGCACAGTCTACAAAATAAGTCCCAGGACAGTCAGGGCCCTGTTACAGAGAAACCCTGCCTCAAACACAACCCCTCACCCCAAAATAAGTAGCCCTTCCCACTCTCCCCTATAGCTATGCACAAAGATACGACTTCCAGCCTAGGGGCTCACTGTGTCGACCCATACTCTTAAACCATCTGAACTACAAAAAACAAAACAACCAGAAAAGAAAGGCTATGTAATTACAAGTCAGTCTATAGTACCCCATTCTAGGAAACCAAACTCTTAACAGCTCTATATGAGAGACTTAACAGGAACCACACTCCTGTTAATTGACATTAACTCCTCAAAAACGGATGAATGTTAAGATGACACAGAGTGATGGGACTAGAATGCCATTATTATCCTCAATGTTCTATTTATTTTCCCAGTCTCCCAATTCATTTCACATACTTACCAAACAGACAAGGAATAAGGCTAGTGGAAAGGGATAAAGAAACCCCGAGAGTATACTGAGGAATATGGAACCTGGAATAGCAAATGTTTGCAAGCTGTTAACTTCTAAGTTAAGGATTAAAACATAATGAAGTAGAATTTTTATAAGATAAACTCAACATCTGAGGAAAATTATAATACAGAAATTGTTAATAACCCATAATAATTTTATGTAGTAGTATTATTTTGTGTTGGACTAAAACCTGCCCCAGGAGCTCAGGTGGGTTGTTCTACTCGTAGTATCATATCTGCACTAGAACAAGTTGCATACTCTGGAGATTCTGGATCATTAGTTTGGGAACTAGGAATACCAACTTGCAGTGAAGGATAATGAATGTCTCTGGCTCTAAATAAGATACCCACACATGCCGGGAGGTGGTGGCGCACGCCTTTAATCCCAGCACTCGGGAGGCAGAGGCAGGCGGATCTCTGTGAGTTCGAGGCCAGTCTGGGCTACCAAGTGAGTTCCAGGAAAGGTGTCAAAGCTACACAGAGAAACCCTGTTTCAAAAAACAAAACAAAAAAAACCAACCAAACAAAAAAAAGATACCCACACACTTCAGCAAGAAAATAAACACAATGTTGGTGTTGTAGAATACAACAATTTTAAAGTGTGTTATTTTGTTTATGCTGCATTTGTTTAACTCTGTGAAGCTGTGTTACTATGCCTGTCTGAAACACCTGATGTTCTAATAAAGAACTAAATGGCCAACAGCAAGGCACGAGAAAGGATAGGCGGGGCTGGCAGGCAGAGGGAGGATAAATAGAAGGAGAACTCTGGAGGAAAGAGAAAGGAAAGGAGGAGTCAGAGAAGGAGGTGGACTCTAGGGGCCAGACACCCAGCTACACAGTGAGGCCCAGAGTGAGAGTAAGAGTTACAAGAGAAGAGAACGGAGAAAAGCCAAGAGGCAAAAGGTTGACGGGGTAATTTAAAATTAAGGAAAGCTGGCAAGAAACAAGCCAAGCTAAGGCTGTACATTAATAATTAAGAACAAACCTCTGTGTGTGATTTATTTGGGAGCTGGGTAGCAGGTCCTCAAAAGAGAAAAAGAGCAAAAACAAACATGTTGGTAAGATTATGCTAAGAGGAAATCCAGAACAAACACCCAATAGACACTGGGCAGAGACAAATTAGGCAGCTAAGCAAAAAAAAAAAAAAAAAAAAAAAAAAAAAAAAAAAAAAAAAAGTCTTCAGTAAGGTCTTTTTGGTCTTGTTTTTGAGACAGTCTCATTTAGTAGTCTCTGGCAACCTGGAACGTTCTTTGTAGACCAGGTTAGACTCAAACTCAAGAGATCCACCTGCCCCTGCTTCCTAGCGCTGAAATTTAAAGGCATACTAATTAATATGTGCTAATGCAGACTGGCTGTACTAACAACTATGCTATGGACCTATCACTCTCCCATTATTCCAGGTGCTTAGCAATTTGGTTTTTTAATACTCAAACATATATACTTACTACTTAAAAACACTGGTTAAATAAACACTAGGATTAAAATAAGAAATTTTAAAAAGAGACACCTCTCCCAAATATTTTTATATACAAGTTTGAGACTATAGGAGCTACATGGCTACTGAGAGACACTGATAGGTGGCAAATCTGAGTTGAAATGTGTTATGAGTATAAAGTACAAAGCATATTTCAGAGAAGTAGTACGGAAAGAGGAGGGCCAGCTTGTGGTGCACACCTTTAATCTCAGCACTGGGGAGGGAAAAGCAGGTAATCTTTTTGAATTCAAGGGCAGTCTGGTCTACATAGCAAGTTCCAGGTCAGTCATGGCTATAAAATGAGACCCTGTCTCAAACAAAACAAAACAACTAACAAAAAACTCAAACAAAAGAGGAAATTAAATATCTCATCAACAATTTTTAGGGGCTGGGCTAAGGATCAGTAGTGAAGCAGGTACTCAGTGCACTGGAGGCCCCGGGTCAATCCCAGCACACACCAGCAGTCACATGGGTAACATTTTGAAATGATAAAATTATCTGACACATATACTCAAGTACAACATGGAAAAAAATTAATTTCCGGTGTTACTTTTTCTCATGTCCCTAGATGGCTCACAGAGCTCTAATAGCCCTGTGCTAGTAAAATGAAATCTTTGTTATATACACCACAATCAAATCTCTCCCTGTTGTTAACTCAATTCAAAAAGTGTGCCTTTTCATATTGAGATGGCTTAGTGGGTAGAAGCACTTGCTTTGGAGCCTAGTGGCCTAAGTTCCATCCCTGGAACCCACAAAGAAGTAGAAAAAGGAAATCAGGCTGGATGTGTAGTGGCACATACCTTGAATCTCAGTACTTGGGAGGCAGAGGAAAGAGGATCTATGAATTTGAGGTCAGCCTGGTCTACAGAGTGAGTTCCAGGACAGCCAGGGATATGTATCAAGACTCCAGTCTTGAAAACAAAAAAAGAGAAAACCACTCTACAAAATTGTTCACTGGCCTCCATATAGCATGAGAGTGTACGCACATGCACACACATAAATAAAAACAATACAAATAGAGCCGGGTGTGTGTGTGTGTGTGTGTGTGTGAGTGTGAGAGAGATGGTGCACACCTTTAATCCCAGCACTTGGGAGGCAGAGGCAGGCAGATCTCTGTGAGTTCGAGGCCAGCCTGGGCTACAGAGTGAGTTCCAGGAAAGGTGCAAAGCTACACAGAAAAAAACCTGTCTCGAAAAGCAAAAAAAAAAAAAAAAAACCAGGGCTGGAGAGATGGCTCAGAGGTTAAAAGCACTGGCTGTTCTTCCAGAGGTCCTGAGTTCAATTCCCAGCAACCACATGGTGGCTCACAACCATCTGTAATGAGATCTGGTGCCCTCTTCTGGCCTGCAGTCATGCATGCTGTATACATAATGAATAAATAAATCTTTAAAAACAAACAAACAAACAAAACCCAAATAAACGTGAGTATTTTAACAAAAAGGGGTTAACAAACTACAAACAAAACCCGCACAAATACCTAAAATGGGCTGACAAGATGGTTCACTGGGTAAAAGTGTTTGCCGTGCAATCCTGACAACCTGAGTTGGATCCCAACAGTCTGAGTGCAATCTCTAGAACCCATGTAAAGGTGGAGGGGAAGAACTCACTCCAAAAAGTTATCCTCTGACCTCTATACAAGTGTGTGCACACACACACACACCATAAGAAATTTAGAAAGTGGCTGGAGAGATGGCTCAACAGTCAGGAGCACTGGCTGTTCTTTCAGAGGTCCTGAGTTCAATTCCAGCACCTACATGGTGGCTCACAACCATCTATATATAACTGTAGTTTCATGGGATCAGATGACTTCTTCTGGTGTACAGATAGATGTACATGCAGACAAAACATTCATATACATAAAGTAAATAAATTTTTGAAATAAATAAACATAAATAAAATAAAAAACCTCAAACAAATGAAATTACTATTATTTATCAAATGAATTACTATTGTGTGTAGTAAGACTTGCTGGATTGCTTAAAATTTTAAACTAAATGCATTTTGTAGTAATAAACCCTAGGATACAAGTGTATGCCATATGAGCAGCACTGATAAATTTCTTAACACTATTTTGTAGTATTAAATAATTACCTAAGCCAAGCGACTACTCTGAAAAATAATGACATGGGGCTGGGGCTCAACAGTTAAAAGTGCTGGCTATTCTTCCAGATTCCCAGCACCCACACAGAAGCTCACAACAGTCTCTCACTCCAGGTCCAGGAATCCAATGCTCTCTTCTGACCTCTAAGGGTACCACACATGTAAGCGGTGCACCAGATATCCATGTAGGTGAAATACCCACACACATAAAAATTTTTTGAATGAAGCTGGGTGGCAGTGGCATAAGCCTTTAATCCCAGCACTTGGGAGGCAGAGCCAGGCAGACCTCTGTGATTTTCAGGTCAGCCTGGTCTACAGTGAGAGATCCAGAACAGGCACACTAAAACCCTGTATCAAAAAAAAAAATTTTTTTTTTTGAATGAAATGGTAACTCATAATTGAAGATAACCCTTGAAATTTAAAGATTAATTACCTATAAAACTTATAAATAAAAATAAATATTCTAGGGGGCTGGAGAGATGGCTCAGCAGTAAGAACACTACCTATTCTTCCAGAAGACCTGGGTTCAATTTCCAGCACCTACATGGCAGCTCACACCTGTCTGTAACTCCACTTTCAGGGGACCTGACTCCCATGGCAAAACACCAATGCAAATTAAAAAATAAAATAAGAAAAATATTCCAAGTAAGAGGAAAGATAAGCAATATATATATTTATACACACATATCTATAGAGATCTGCCAGCTTCTGGCTCCATAGTGCTGGGATAAAAGGTGTGAGCACCAATGCCCAACAGAGTTTTAATGTTTGAGAGCTCACGCCTATAATTCCAGCACTCAGGGAGGCTGAGGCAGGTAGATTTCTATGAGTTCCAGGCCAGCCTGGTCTAAAGTTCCAGGTAAGCAAGGGCTACACAGTGAGACCCTGCCTCAAAAAAACAAAACAACCTCAGTTTTATTCATTTTTAAATATTAAATTATTTGTGTGTGTGGACCTAAGTGGAATGTGTAGAGGTTAGAGGACAACTTTCAGGAGCAGGTTTCTCCTACCATGTGGTCCTAGGAATCAAATGCAGGATGTGCTTAGTTGGCAACAAGCCCCTTTATCTGCTAAGCCATCTCACTGGCCCCTGCATCAACATTTTAAAGGAAAACAGTCATTACTTAAACAGTAGACCTTTAGAACTTTATCTTGAACAAATTAGAAAACATTTTTTAGATAAAAGGATACAAAATATATGTAGCAAAATAAGCAACCAATACTTGTACATAAAAGGTGTCCTTATATTTGGAGAGAACTTTTCCTAAAGCCTTGGCATCATCCATATCTCTTGGAACCTTCATATTCGCTCTTTCTTCTCTGAAGAAATAAAATTAATAATGTAAAAATTTTAAAAACCAGAATTCCATGATAAAAATCAAAGTCAAATTCAAAACATCAAGTTTTAAACAAAAATGAGGCAATGCAATTTAGTTGTAATAAGGACAAATTCACAAATTTTAGATTTTACAGTCTGTAAACATATACACGTATAAATTAAAGTTCAAAATGGTACAAATCAGCCAGGCAGTGGTGGCGCACGCTTTTAATCCCAGCACTTGGAGGCAGAGGCAGGCAGATCTTTGTGAGTTCGAGGCTAGCCTGGATCTACAGAGAGAAGATCCAGGAAAGGTGCAAAGCTACACAGAGAAACCCTATCTTAACCCCCCACACATCAAAAGGTACAAACCAAAGATTAAAAACATTTCTTTCACTATTGGCTTTAATTTTAATTTAAACATTAAGAAATGTATTAACATATTAAAAACATACTTGTGGGGCAGTGGTGGTGCATGCCTTTAACCCCAACCCTCAGGGAGGGAGAGGCAGGCAAAACACTGAGTTATAGGCTAGCTTGATCTACAGAAGAGTTTCAGGACAGCCAGGACTACACAGAGAAACACTGTCTTCAAAAACCAAAAGCACCCAGTTGAAATTTTTATAAGCAAGAAATCATTTACTTCTAAACAAGGCAGCAAATAGAAAACAAAATTAATAGCAAGGCAAAAGTAAAAAGTCAGGGAAGATAGATAACCCCAATTAGTGTGTAGGCCGGAGTTTGAAGACAATCTGTGCTTCATTGGAAGATACCGGTTCCAAATAAATGGGGTAAGCAGGATGTAGTAGTGCATGCTTTTAACCCCAGCATTAGGAGGCAGAGGCAGACAGATTAAGAGTCTAGCTTGGTCAACATAGTGAGTTCTAGGGCAGTCAGGATTACATATCAAGACCCTGTCTCAGAAAAAAAGTTAAATAAAACTAGAAAGTGGTGGCACACCCCTTTAATCCCAGCACTCCAGAGACTAAGGCAGGTAGATCTCTGGGTGTTTAAGGTCAGCCTGGTCTGATTAGTGAGTTCCAGGACAGCCAGGGCTACATAGTGAGACCCAACAACAACAAAATCATTAAATAAATAATACAATGTATTTCTTATTTTTGAGACAGGGTTTCTCTGTGTAGTTTTGGTGCCTGTCCTGGATCTCAATCTGTAGACCAGGCTGGCCTCGAACTCACAGAGATCTGCCCATCTTTGGCTCCTGAGTTCTGTGATTAAAGGCATGCGCCACCACCCCGGCTGAATTTAATGTACTTTTATGACTGTTTCCTCTGCAGGATAATGACAGAATGTTATTTTCCTATTTTTTTTATATTTTTGATGCTCAAGCTAATCTACAGTTTATGGATCTACTGATGTTCCTGCTTCAGACTGAGCAGCTAGCTTGGTAGGACTACAGATGTATACCACCACACCTGGCTGCATGCTACCTTTCTTAGTACTATAAAAATACCTAACTAAAGCGGCTTCTTGCTGATGCAATTTAAAACTAGAAATACTCCACAGAAGTGTGCACACACATATACACACACAAATATATAGAAAAATAGCAGACTTAGAAAAGGTACCTAACTACATTATTATGTTATTACAGAGATTGGAAACAAAGGTTACCTTAAATCAGCTCTTTATTTCCTATTCCTTTATTAAAGCCAGAAAGGATCTAAAATTAAAATCATGTCAGGAGGCAGAGACAGGAGTACCTCTGTTAGTCCTAGACCAGCCTGGTGGATATTGAGAGTTCCAGAATGAGGGTACATAGAAGGATGGATAGATGAATGAATAAATGAATACATACATACATACATAACCTGTCTCAAAAAAAAGTTAGTATTTGTTTAACAATATAAACAGGCAGGCACCTCTCCTTTGAGAAGCCCACATGGGTGTGTTACTTTCTTCCTCATAGCCTCTATTAATCCAGTGTGTAAGATCTGTTTAAATGTCTTTAATAAAAACTTCAATTCTGCTTCAAAAACTAATATACATACACTCTCAGCTCACGCACACAGAAAATTTAAAAATATACACTGAAAGAGAAATCACATGCATACAGATTCACTTATAAAAATCTCCTCACTGGGCATGATGGGAAACACCTACATACAACCCCAGCACTCAGGAGGCAGAGCAGGAGGATCTTAAATTCAAGACCAGCTTGAGCTATGTAAGAGAACTTGACTCAAAAAACATAGGTTAGCTGAGCAGTGATAGTGCACACCTTTAATCCCAGTACTCAAGAGGCAGAGGCAGGTGGATCTCTGTTTGAGGCCAGCCTGGTCCACAGAGTAAGTTCTAGGACAGCCAAGGCCACACAGAGAAACCCTGTCTCAAAAAAAACAAAACACACGCATATAAAATAATAAAATGTCTTCTAGTAATCATGTTTGGAAAAAAAAAAACTTGAAAGCCACTAGAAAGATGATTTTTTTTTTTAATGATTAAAGGCAAATGTATTTGGTTCCTTTCCATGTAGCACATACTAAAGTAATTACATGCTGCTTTTCCAAATCAAGTTTGGAAAAGGAGCTTACATAGAGGAAAGGGAACATTCTTACTAAGCTACTCATTGACCAAGTAGTGAGGAGTATACTGGGAGAGTTAACATCTATTGTCTTTTCCAACATGTAAAGCTCAGAAGGCCTGTATTAACCTTGTACCAGAAGAAGCCTATGGAAGCCATTCAGATTTGCCACATCAGGGAGGAAGGCACAGGAGGAAGAGGAGGAAGAGGAGTGTCGATTGTCCTATGTTTGAGTGTAGAAGCTGCTGGCAAGAAGAAAAAAAAAAACAATAAAATGAAGTTGTATTTCTTAGGGTGCCATGCCAAGCAGAAAGCCTCCCAAAAAATCCTCCAGTCACTAGAACATTCTTCTTTACAAATGACACAACCTCCTCAGCTTTGCTCTTGACCTCAGTTGATATTTGGTTATTCTTATGAATCTTCAAGTGCTCTTTAGCTTTTTTCATGTCTTTCTCTACTCGTTGCCAGTCAACTTTGAGGAACCCAGTATGGTTTGCCAGCTGAAGTAGAAAAAATCCACCTCCTACAGCTGTTGCAGCCAATTTTCCAACTTTCTGGAATATGAAACCAATGCACCTTTAATTTCAGCACTCAGAAGACAGAGGCAGGTGGATCTCTGAGTTCAAGGACAGTGTGGTCTACTGAGCTAGTTCCAGGACAACAAGGACTATACAGAGAAACCCATCCAGTAATACCTCCAATTAACAGCTGGGTTGCTACACTATACTTTTCAGCTGACGGCCCAGATTCCTGCCCAAACAGCATACACTACCGTGGTTGCTTTTTAGTTAATTCTGCAAGATCCAGTGCCTCAAATTTTCCATCGAAGTTTCCTTGACTGGTCCTGGCCATTTTTGAAAGATGACTTCTTAATTAGGGAACTGATACTAGAAAAGCCTTCCACAGAAAAATCAAAGAGTCAAAAGGCAATTTTCTAGCTTGAGAAACCTTTGGTAACCCTTGGATGTGAACTATTACCCTGTTCTTTGAAGACTATGTTAGCCCTGAATTCAGAGACATCTACCTACCTCAACCTCTGCCCCTGCAGTGCTGGGATTAAGGGCTTGAGCCACCACATTTGTCCTATCCTTTTCTTAATAAATTCTAATTTTCTTTCATTTAAAGAAAGAAGGTTCTGTATGCTGTGAATATATGTTGCTCTGATTGGTTGATAAATAAAATGCTGACTGGCCAGTAGCCAGGCAGGAAGTATAGGCGGGATAAGCAGACAAGAAGAATTCTGGGAAGAGGAAGGCTGAGTCAGGAGACACCAGCCTGGCATCCAGGCTGCAGCATGTAATGGCACACAGGTAAAGCCACAGAACACAAGGCGACATATAGATTAATAGAAATGGGCTGAGTTTAAATGTAAAAACTAGCCAGTGTTAAGCCTGAGCTAATGGTCGAGAAGTTTTAATTAATATAAGTCTCTATGTGTTTACTTGGGTCTGAGCGGCTGCAGACTTAGCAGGACACAGGAAAACTTTAGCTACAGGAAGGAATGAAGGAAAGAAAAGAAAGAAATAGCCGGGCAGTGGTGGTGCACACCTTTAATCCCAGCACTCGGGCAGCAGAGCCAGGAAGATCTCTGTGAGTTCGAGGCCAGCCTGGTCTACAGAGCTAGATCTAGAAGGAAATAAAGAAAGGAAGGAGGCCTGGGGGGGAGGGCATATCTCATTTAGTAGATTGTTTGCTTAACATACAGGAAAACCTGGATAAAAAATCTGGGATCATCTCAGACTAGGGAGGTGGAGACAATAGAATTAGAAGTTCAAGGTCATTCTTCATGAAAACAGGGAGTTTAGACCACAGAGGGAATAAGACAATCCGTCTGAAAAACAAAAGGGTAGGAAGGTGGGAAATCTGATGTAACAGTGCTCATGGACTTTTATAATCTATGAGAGCTGGTATAATCACCTTAACAGTTCTGTTGCCAAAGGAAATTTAGCTTTTAATTCACTTAACATCTAAAATACGTAGACATTTTTAGTTTCTCTTGTTGTATACTTACTCACTAAGCTGAGGAAAATTTTTATATACCAAAAACATAACAAATGCTGCACATAAGAAAATGGACACCAGTATAAGGAGTGACATTCTTGCTGACCCAGCTTCTGCACAAGGTTTGTCTGAAAGAAGAAAAAAAGTGTAATTAAAATAAATAGTATTTCATAACTAACTAATAACTTCTTCATAACTTCTTCAAATCCTTTCCTCCCAAAAACTGTTCAAACTTTTACCTAAAACCATGACATTAAACCAATTACTTCAACTGCTGTAAGAACCACTTACTGGTCATCTCTCAGCATTTTTTTTTTTTTTTTTTTTTTGAGGAAGATACCTCTGGCCTGCACATGCATACACCCAGACAAAAGTACATACCACATACACATACATAAATTACAGGTCAAACCTGTAAACCCAACTCTTAGAAGGAAGAAGAACTGCTCAAGGTCTGAGGCCAGCCTGGGATAGATAATGGTGTGGTGATATTTTATTTGTGCTTAATATAGTTTGCCTGGAGATCAGAGGAAATAAGAAGCCATTTTAAGTAAAAAAAGAAGTCAGGCAGTGGTGTAGCACACACCCTTAATCCTATCACTTAGCAGGCAGGATCTGTGTGTTCAAGGCCACACTAGGGAACAGAGCCAAGCTTGGTGACACACACTTTTAATCCCAGTACCAACCATAAAGTTCTAGAGGCCTATACAGACATGAAGTGACAGAGCTGGCCAGGAAGAAGTGATGTAGCTAGACAGAGCAAGTTCCAGGACAGCCAGGGCTATACAGAGAAACCCTGAACCTTGTCTCAACAAACCAAAAAAAGAGAAAAAAAAAAAAAAGATTACATAAAAACTGAGTTCAGAGAAACAGTTTTCAATGGTCTGGCATCAAAGCAAAGACATTGTCATACATGTAAGTAGTATATAAGTAGTCTAGTTTTTTTATTATGCCTGTTGTCTTTTAAAGACACACTATTTTTAAATCTATCTGGAGAACTGAGGAGACAGCTCAGCAGGTAAAGGCACTTGCCACCAAACCTGACAGACGACCTGAATTCCATCCCTGACACCCACAGAAAAGGAAAGATAGATCAGACTCCTGCAAATCGTCCTTTGACCTCTATATGTATGCCTTGGAATACTGTGTTCTGGCACATACACATGTCCCATCTACCCACCAATAAATAAATAAGCAAACAAATAAATGTAAAAAACCTTTTTAACCTACCATCTAGAATTAACTTGTCCCAGTCCAAAGTTTCAGCTTATTTTATTGAGAAGTCCATGAACTCAAAGTATTTGATAGGAATAAAATTTTTTGTTTTTGGTTTTTTGAGATAGTTTCTCTGTGTAGCCCTGGCTGTCCTGGAACTCCCTCTGAGACCAGGCTGGCCTCAAACTCAGAGATCTGCCTGCCTCGGCCTCTCAAGTGCTGGGATTAAAGGTGTACACTACCACTGCCCAGAAATAATAATATAATTTAATATTAACTTAAAATTAAAACTAGTAATAATTAGTTTTTACTGTGCAAGTATCTGTGAACCCAAGAATGATTTCTAAGAACAAACAGTTGATCTTCTCTCCATTCCTGGTTTCTATAGAAGTCACAGACTGAACACACTTCTCTGTATGCTCGGCACTACTATGTTCAACCTGTTTTCAAGAAGCAGGCCAACACCACCATAAAGAATACAAATCCAAAAGGACTTAAAGATTTCATAGGAAGGCCAGACAGAAAGATTACTTGGTGGACACAATAAAGGCAATTTTTAGTTGAAGATTAAAAGATGGGGAAAGAATCTTCTAACCTGTACTGTATGTTCCTAAATACATTTTAAGGACTTAAACAGTCTTTTGAAGTTAAAACTTTTTTTTCTCCTTTCTGAGACTCACTGCCATGGAATTAAAGGCATGTGGCCCAGCTTTGAAGTAAAATTTTAAATAAGGCATTTGTTATATTATCTGGAAAATTAATTTTTTTCCTCTGCACTAAGAATTCACCAGTCCTAAGTTAGGGGTCAATGGGGACATGTTTCAGAAATGGTTCACTGGACTACAGAGCACTAACTAACCAGAGTTTTCAGTACACATCTACTTGCTACTTCTTTGACAGTGACTTAACTTCTAAGGTTTAACTTTTTTTTTTTTTTTTTGGTTTTTCGAGACAGGGTTTCTCTGTGTAGCTTTGCGCCTTTTCCTGGAGCTCACTTGGTAGCCCAGGCTGGCCTCGAACTCACAGAGATCCGCCTGGCTCTGCCTCCCGAGTGCTGGGATTAAAGGCGTGCGCCACCACCGCCCGGCCTAAGGTTTAACTTGACACTTGTTCTCTTCACTGTCTGAAAATGAGCCCCTTCCGCCTCTATCAGCCGTTATTATGCTCACCAGCAAAGTAGGAAAACACGGGAAAAGGTTCACAAACACTTGAGTGACATTCAATTCTGAGGCTCCACTTTTTCACATGTAGTAAACAGTGCTGATAATTATGATTTAACAACGCTTCTGCATAATCCTAGTAAAACCTAAAGGCTAGCATGCAATCCATTTATAGTTTTAATTATAATTCATTTATAAATTGTTTTTATAATTTCCATCTGAATCTGCACCATGTATACTACTAATGTATCTTTGTACAAGTATGTTAGATGGGTGTGCTTTAGCTCTGGCAGCCACCAGGCCTGCACATGAAATGCATTAGCTTCTAAATCTTCCCCAACACTACCATTATGCTGGTTAATATTATCATCTAATAGTATCATACTCATCCAACTACCTGCCTATCCAACTTCCTCCCAGGTCAAAGGTACTGACTTGAGAAAGAGTCATGCTCTGTCAACCTACAAGTCCATCTACTTTCTCTGCTTCAATCTCTGTTCATCTAATTTCTCTGCTTCAATCTCGGTTATCACTGACAACCCTGTCACAACAGTCTCCCTGTACCCAAGGACCCTGCCCTACTAAGTCTATTCACAAAATCACCGTCCCTTGTCTTATCCTTATCTTTTTGTTAAAAGTTAACAGACTTCCTTCTAGATCCTGCTCTATGGAATTTTTCCATTCATCAACATCTTCAATACAGTCTGAGCACTCAGGAGACAGAAGCAGATGGATCTCTACACAGTGAGTTCCAGTTCAGTCAAAGTTACGCAGTGAAAAATCCCTCTCAATAAGAAAATAAACAAATGAGCCGGGCGGTGGTGGCGCACGCCTTTAATCCCAGCACTCGGGAGGCAGAGCCAGGCGGATCTCTGTGAGTTCGAGGCCAGCCTGGGCTACCAAGTGAGCTCCAGGAAAGGCGCAAAGCTACGCAGAGAAACCCTGTCTCGAAAAACCAAAAAAAAAAAAAAAAAAAAAAAAAAAAAAAAAAGAAAATAAACAAATGAATGCAGCCTAAAAAAATTAAAATTAACCATATTGTACCTCTGTGTTTTCTATTTTTTGAGATGGTTTCATGTAGACCAGGCTGGCCTCCAACTTAAAAATGTAATCAAAGGTGACCTTGAACTCCTGACCTTACTCAAAAAATATAATCGAAGGTGACTTTGAACTCCTGATCTTCCTGTATCCATCTTCCAAGTATAAGCACCCACAGACATGCACATTTAACACACACACACACACACACACACACACACACACACACACACTCACACCAAAACAAGAAACAAGAAACAAGGAAAGAAAAAAACCAAAACCTCACAAACACAAAAGGTTACTGATGGTGGCACCTATCTGCAATCCCAGTTCTAGGGAGACAGAGACAGGACTGCCAAAAGATGGATCCCAGCCCGGGCTAGGCTTGGCCTATAGAGTAAGACCATCTCTACAGAGTAAGACCATCTCTGTAGAGTAAGACCATCTCTACAGAGTAAGACCATCTCTATAGAGTAAGACCATCTCTATAGAGTAAGACCATCTCTCATACAGACAAAAAAGTGTCATGGCCTGGTATACAGTGGTCCATTCTTAGGAATCTCAGTACTGAGGAAGAAGGATATCCAGGTCATCTTGGGATATATGGGAGACTATCTTAAAAACAAACAAAAACATACACTAAATTGTTTCAGAATTTGTAAGAAGATTCTATCACTAAGTAGTTTTCAATCCAAGATTATTAGAATCTTTACTTCTTCTTTGCCTTTTTTTTAATGGCAAGTTGCTATCTATAATCAATAAAAATTGTTATTCCAATCCTAGAAAATTGGTTGGTAACTAGTTACTAATGGCACCACAACAGAATACTAAGTAAACTAAATCCTATCACATAAGAGGGCCACAGAATTTTTTGCTACAAAGAGAATTCCTAACATTAGGAAAAGGCAGGGGGTGGGGGGAGAGAAAAAATTTGAGTCATGCTGGGCGGTGGTGCACTTGGGAGGCAGAGCCAGGTGGATCTCTGTGAGTTCGAGGCCAGCCTGGTCTACAAAGCGAGATCCAGGAAAGGCGCAAAGCTACACAGGGAAACCCTGTCTGGAAAAAATAAAATAAAATAAAATTGAGTCATTAATAAATAAGATTTAAAAAAAAAAAATCTTTTTTGCCTAGTTAACATAATCATATCAAATAGACTAACCTAATCTCCTATCACCCAACAGCAACCCATCCACTGGTGACAAACTAACTTCTTTACTGACACACATAAAGGGGTCACACTAACCTTCAAGCCTACTGTTTCCCCTAGCTCAGAATCCCCTTCCCATATCCTAGACTTATCTAAACCCCACTTTTCCTACAGGGCACATCTTCAAATCTCTATCCTTTGGCTTATGGATGTGTAGTTAGTGTGTAGTTGCAAGTCATTTGATAAAAGAAACCACCATAAAGGAACTCTGGATGTTCTGAGGTATTATTATTATTATTATGTATTTAGTAACTCTAAAACAAACAACAACAAAACAAACAAACCTGCACAACTGAAACTATCTCAAGCCAAATGACAATTATTGTTTCGCTTGCTCTACCTGGATAACATCCTTGCAAGAAACCTAAAGCTTGGATTATTCTCACTCTCCACATTTGAGTCTTCAAAAACAGTGTTTGCTTCATTTAAAGCAGACTTAGGCCTTAGCAACAATTTGTTTCTAAGAGATTTTCATTTATACAAAATTATTTAGCTCCACAGTCTAAATGCAAATACATAAACCTATGAGAGCCAAATCATACTACAACATATTTAAAGTCAGATGAGAACACATTTTCACTGTGTATTATTTTTTAAAGATTTAGTTCATCATGGGGGTGGGGAGTGCACATTACCCAGAAGATAGTGCTAGATACCCTGGAACTAGAGCTACAGATGGTGATGAGCTGACATGTGGGTGCTGGGAATCGAACCAGGATCCTATGCAAGAACAGCCAGTGTGCTTAACCACTGAACCATCTCCCCAGCGCCTCCACTAAATTTTTTTTTTTGTTTGTTTGTTTTTTGTTTTTCGAGACAGGGTTTCTCTGTGTAACTTTGAGCCTTTCCTGGAGCTCACTTGGTAGCCCAGGCTGGCCTCGAACTCAGAGATCCGCCTGGCTCTGCCTCCCGAGTGCTGGGATTAAAGTCCTGCGCCACCACCGCCCCGTTTAGCCTCCATTTCATAGAAGCCAAGCTTATGTGAACTGTTTTGTTTACACCACGCACCAATGACTAAGTAGATACTATTATTACTGTTCTTGTTTAATACAGACACTGAGTTTTTTAAAGTTACAAATCCAGCTCTGCATGGTAGCATACTCCTTAAGCTGAGGCTGGTGGATCTCTGTAAGTTCCAGACCAGCCTGGACTGTCTTTTTTATTTTAGAGACAGGGTTTCTCTGTTAACAGCTCTGGCTGTCCTGGAACTCGCAGGCTGCCCTCGAACTTAACAGAGATCCGCCTGCCTCTGCCTCCCGAATGCTGACATTAAAGGCGTGAGCCACCACCACCCAGCCCCAGACTCTATCTTAATAAGTAAGTAAATAAATAGATAGATATATAGATAGATAGATATGTAGGTAAGTAAGTAAAATCCAAGCCAGGCGCTGGTGGCGCAAGCCTTTAATCCTAGCACCAGGGAAGGGAGGCAGAGGCAGGCGGATCTCTGTGTTCCAGGCCAGCCTTGTCGAGCAAGTTCCAGTACAGCCAGGGCTCCACAGGGGAACCCTGTCTCGAAAAACAACAATCATAAACAAAAATCAAAGTTACAAAGCAGGGTAAATGGAAGCACAGGATCTGACACTTTCAAGTGGCACCTGGAAGGGCAAGTCTTTGCTCTTAATCACTACCTTAGTTTGGCTGTGACCCTGCACAAGTCATTTACCGCATAGTCCTCAGTTTGTTCATCTGTAAAACAATGCAATGAAGCCTCGAGTCTCTTAAACACCTGTCTAATAGGTAGCCTGGGTAACCAACCTCATTGTCTGATCTTCGACAAGTCAACGTCACTGCTTCTTTTAACTGGGGAAATATCTACTAGGAGTCTGACCCTCTGTCGTGCGGTCCCCCCGCCAAGCACACCACTCTCTTGCTGCGGTCCTTGGGAGCTGAGGTCCGTCTTTCTCTGAGACTTGCTGGGGGACTCGACCCTTCGACCTTCGGGAGTAGCCTGAGCTCCGGCCCGCAGGTCCACTCACCCTTCAGGTGGTCTCTGCTGCCTGGCGTGGTGGAACCCCGCGTGCCGGTGGCCGGGTCCCCGGCCGGGGTCGAGTGCAGCGGCCCCGTCTGCGTTCGCTCGGCGACACGTCCTTTCGCCATGGCTGCTGCAGGGGGCCGTGAAGAACGCCCAGTGGTGCCGCGCCCCCTTGAGTGACTAAACTCCCCCAGCAGCTTCCTAACAACACCGAGCGCGCGGCACAGCCACTTCCGGCGCGACCCCCTCACCCAAGACGACCTCGGCAGCTAGACACTGGGCAAAGCCTCCCGGGGACCTCGGGTTAGGGCCCGCCCAGCACCGCCCAGCACCGCCCACGAGCCTCGCGCGCTCCCGCAGGCCCAGTAACCGCGAGACAAGTCACGGCGGGCCCCGCCTCCTCCGGGGCCCCGCCCACCTCCCTCACGCGTGCGGGACGCATGAGCAGTCGCCGCGCCAAGTCACGGGTCTGCAGCCCGCGGTCGGACGTCTCTGCGCAGCTTCCGTCACGCGGAAGTGAGGCCTTGAGTGCTTCAGACTCTTTGTTCCCGCCGACCGGAAGTGTCTGCGCGGGATTAGTTGGCGCTTTCCGATTGAAGGTTCCGCAGGTTCCTCTGCAAATGAGTCACAAACGCAGTGGGAGATGAAAGCCTGGGCTGAAGATCGTGGAAAACGTAAAACATGAGACAAAAAACAGAGGCCCAGAGACAAGGTGCCACCCCTGAAGGTCACTAGGTGGCAGAAATGAGTTTAGAATCCAGGTTTTCTGGTTCAAAACAAATGCTTTCCCGCTGTCAACCCACCACCCTCACATGTAAATTCGCCCTAGCTCTTTCCATTTGGTGTTTTCTGAACCCAGACTTATCTCTTCACAATTTTTCTACTCCTGCCCCTCAGGACACTTTTCCAGCCTCTCGCTGGTAAGTATATTAGAGTCCCGTTTCCCCCCCCCCCGCCCCCTTTAAGTTTCAGGGTTGTTTTGTTTTTGCTGCAGATTTAATCCGAGACCTTGGACATGCAAAGCACACATTTTGCTACTGAGCATCCCCCTATCCTATTAACTCCTTTACCCGTTAGCATCTTGAAAAGCAGGTATCGAAAGTAATTCTTGGGGACTTTTTAAAATGGGACAAAAGGGGAGGAAATTGGATTGTTCCTGTACAGTAATTACATTTATAAGAAACAGTCTGTTAGCCAGGGAGATTGCGGTTCAGGGGGTAAAGGTGTTTGTCTCCAAACTTGACAATCTGAGTTCGGTCTCTGGGACCAACTCTTGCAAGTTGTCCTCAGGTTTTGACATGGCATTCGTTCACACACACAGTAATAAATGTAGTATTAATAAAAATTTTAAAAAGAAATCATTTTTTTTTTCCTTTCAAGACAGGGTTTCTCTGTGTAGCTTTGGACCCTATCCTGGAACTCGGTTTGTAAATCAGGCTGGCCTCTAACTCACAGAGATCCTCCTGCTTCTGCCTATCAAGTACTTGGACTAATGTCATGTGCCACCACCTCCCAGCTAGAAAACTCATTTTTTTAAAAATATTTATTATGTATCTAGTATTCTGCCTGTATGTATCCTTGCAGACCGGAAGAGGGCACTAGATCTTGTTACGGGTGGTTGTAAGACACCATGTGGTGGCTGGGAATTGAATTCATGACCTCTGGAAGAGCAGTCAGTGCTCTTAACTACTGAGCCATCTCTCCAGCCCAAAAACTCATTTCTAATAACATTAGTATAGTAGTTGTCAATACAAAACAGCTCTCACTTGAAAGGGAGTAAGAATTTATTCAACTCTGACGGTGGTGGTACATGCCTTTAATCCCAGCCCATAGGAGGCAGAGACAGGCAGATCTCTGAGTTCCAGACCAGCCTGGTCTACATAGCAAATTCCAGAACAGCCAGGGATACACAGTGAGCTCCTGTTTCAAAACAAAACAAAAACAAAAACACACCAAACCAAACAAAAAGCTTAGTGGTTAAGAGAACTGCCTGCTCCTCCAGATAGAGGATCTGGGTACAGTTCTCAGCACCCACAACAGAAGTGTAAACTTCTTGAAACTCCAACTCTAGGTGATCCAGCACCTTTTGTTACCTGTGCACACATGGGACACAGACATACATTCAGGCACTCACACATAAACAAATAAATAAAATCTTCTTCTTCTTTTTTTTTTTTTTTTTTTTTGGTCTTTTGTGTGGCCCTGGCTAGAACTCAATCTGTAGACCAGGCTGCCCTTGAATAGAGATCCACCTGTGTTTGCCTCCCAAATGCTGGGATTAAAGGCATGCACCACCACTGCCCAGCCAAATAAATAAAATTATATGTTTACATATAACATATATATATATTGACTCCTTACCTAATGTTTCCACATATATATATACATATATATGTGTATAAATGTATATATATATATATATATATGTTACAGTAGAGTGGGAGAAATCTCTGCTATAAGTTTCAATACTATCTGGTGATAGTCTTAGTTTTTGATTGGTGGAAGCCTGTGTATTAAGTTAATTCATTCCAAAATGATAATTCCATTATCATTACCTGATAATCATAAAAATATGAAATTATGATATGTCAAAAACAGTGGTGAAATGCTCTTTTTCTTTTTCTGGTGTTTTGAGACATGGTTTTTCTGTGTTGTCCTGGCTGTCCTAGAACCCACTTTGTAGACCAGGCTGGCCTCAAACTCATAGATCGCCTGCCTCTGCCTCCCCAGTGTTGGATTAAAGGCATTCACACCAGGCCTAGCTTCAGTGAATGGCTCCTCTCTTAAGGAGACTGAAGACAGCCCAAAATAATTTGGCTCTGGATCTGCATCCTGCTAATTGTCCATAGTCATGATGTTCTAATAAGTCAGTCAACTGAATCTTTGTTATTTGTTTTGCTTTTTTTCTGGGAACTTCAGTTCACATGACAGAAACATGGAAACAATTTGTAACCCAACACACACACACACACACACACACACACACACACACACAAAATGGTTAAGTAAATTCTATAATACCCATTCAGTGAAAATAATTTTGTTTTCAGTGTTGGGAATTGAACCCAAGGGTCTTCTTGTATAGTAAGCATATAGTCACCAGGGAGCTATATCCCACCTCCAACCAGGACCGTTTGCCTGCTTTTATTAAGGCCTTCCATTAATGACCACTCTTAAGACGTGGCTCTTCATTTTCCTCTGAAGTCTTCATTAAAGCCATAAAGCCAGGCATGTGCTAAAGTTTGTAATCTCAATACTTGGAAGGCAGAGGCAGGAGGATCAGGACTTCAAGGTCATCTTCTTCTACATGGTGAGTTGTGGGCCAGCCAGAACTACATGAGACTGTCTCCAAATAAAATAAAGCAACAACAAAAGAGCTAAGTGTGAATGCCCCACCTTGTCATCACAGCTCAGGAATTAGAAGCCATTTTCATCTACATGGTGGGTTTGAGGCCAGCCAGGGAAGAACTACATGAGGTCCTGGAGGGAAGCAGGCAGGTGGGGAGAGAGGAGTTTGAGAAAACCTGTGTAATGAAGTTGCTGGAATCACCAATCCTAAGGCCTGTCTGTGGGTCCAAACATTTGCTCTAATTGAGAGAAAAGGGTCGGGCGGTGGTGGCGCACGCCTTTAATCCCAGCACTCGGGAGGCAGAGCCAGGCGGATCTCTGTGAGTTCGAGGCCAGCCTGGGCTACAGAGTGAGTT